GAAGAGGCTAAGGCCTGTCCTGCTTGGGAACGAGGGGCCTGGCCTGAGGGAGCTGAGAGAAGCTCTCGGCCTGACACACTGCTCTCTCCTGAGCAGCCCCTGTGTCCTGGAGAGGGTTCTGCTGGCTCACCCCACAGTGTCTCTTCTGAGGTTGAGGCTGGGCCTCAGGGATGTGCTGCCGATCCCCGGCCACACCGTGGGGAGCTTTCCCCATCCTTCCTGAACCCCCCTCTGCCCCCATTCACAGATGACAGTGACCCTTCAACTGAAGAAGCTCAATTGCTAGGAAAAGTGGGGCGGCGCCGGGCTGGAGGTTCAGGGGCCACAGGGGGCCCATGCCCTGTGGCTGATGAGACACCCCCCACGTCAGCCAGTGACTCAGGCTCCTCACAGTCAGATTCTGATGTTCCACCAGAAACTGAGGAGTGTCCATCCATCACAGCTGAAGCAGTGCTAGACTCAGATGAAGATGGGGACTTCTTACCTGTGGACAAAGCTGGGGGGGTCAGTGGAACTCACCATCCCAGACCTGGCCATGACCCACCCCCTGTTCCCCAGCCAGACCCTCACCCATCCCCTCCCCGCCCTGACGTGTGCATGGCTGACCCTGAGGGGCTCAGCTCAGAGTCTGGGAGGGTAGAGAGGCTTCGAGAAAAGGAGAAGGCTCAGGGGCGAGTAGGGCGCCGGGCCCCAGGCCGGGCCAAGCCAGCATCCCCGGCACGACGTCTGGATCTTCGGGGAAAACGTTCACCCACCCCTGGTAAAGGGCCTGTAGATCGTGCATCTCGGGTATCCCCTCGACCACGCAGCACTACAACCCAGGTCACCCCAGCAGAGGAAAAGGATGGACATAGCCCCATGTCCAAAGGCCTAGTCAATGGACTCAAGGCAGGACCAAGTGAGTATATCATGAAAAGAGGAAGGAGGAGATTGTGGGTTTGGGCTCCGTATGGGCTAGTCAAAGGCTCCAGCCATGGGAAAGAGGGGGAAGGTTGCCAATAGGGTACTACTTTTCCTCTACAATATGTCCTGGCTTGTCTCTACAGTGACCTTAGGTTCCAAGGGTGGCTCTGGCTCCCCTGTATACGTGGATCTCGCCTATATACCAAATCATTGTAGTGGCAAGACTGCTGACCTTGATTTCTTCCGTCGAGTCCGTGCATCCTACTATGTGGTCAGTGGGAATGACCCTGCCAATGGCGAGCCAAGCCGGGCTGTGCTGGATGCCCTGCTGGAGGGCAAGGCTCAGTGGGGGGAGAATCTTCAGGTGAGTAGCAAGAGATGCCAAGGAAGTATTCTGTTCAAAGCTTCTTAGAGGCAATAGCAGAACATAGTCCCTATTCATAAAACAACGTGGTCCTTTCTTGGGCAGCAGGCTACTTCTGAGACCATCAGGTGCCCCTACCTCTCCCCTATGTTCCCTTCATGATCTCACATCAGGTATGTCTTGTCTCCCTCCTAGGTGACTCTGATCCCCACTCATGACACGGAGGTGACTCGTGAGTGGTACCAGCAGACTCATGAGCAGCAGCAGCAACTGAACGTCTTGGTCCTGGCTAGTAGCAGCACTGTGGTCATGCAGGATGAGTCCTTCCCAGCCTGCAAGATTGAGTTCTGAAAGAACCTCCCTCCCTTACCCAGAATCCACTCCCCCAGCTCCTTTAGAGAATGGCTACTGCTGAGTCCTTTGGGGATGTGGGAGATGGAGCTGGGGGGTGGGCAGTGTCTTGCTGTGGGGACTTGGTCTGGGCTAAATGGGAGGTATTATCCCTTCCCTTCATTAATTTCTGAGAGGGGTCTTAAAACCAAAGGTAACAGGGATAGTATGAGGGAGGGCAAAAAATTAGGATAAGAGGTCACCCGATGCCTGAGAACCCTGGAGTGGTACCCTCTCCTAGCACTGCCAAGTTTGGTATTGGATGGGGAGTGAGGATGGGTCTCAGCAACCTCCTCCCTCATGGAGGGAGATTATATCCCCAATCCCAGGGGCCTCCTTATCTCTATTTATTTAGCATCCCTGGAAGGATTTCCATTAGTAATTTATGTGGGGATAGGATACTATCAGTGAGGTGCCCAGAGCTGCACCCTTTCCTCCATTTTCCATTCCTTTAGCTGCCAAGGTCTGAGTTCTAGCAGGGGTCTTAGGGTACACCACTGCTACACTGTCCTACTGCTTCTTCAGTATCTGAATGTCTCAATCCAAAACTTGAAGCTCTTTAGACCAACAGACTGGTGAGAGGAGAAAGGAACTTATCTCCCAGTCCCTGCTTCATACCATTCACATCCTAGGGCTGTACCCAGACCAGGCCTACAAGGCAGCACAAAAGGGCAAGGAGAGCCCCAGTCCCAATCCCAATTCTTCCAAACTCCCTGACCCTTTGAAGTTTTCAGTCACCCCATTCCAATTATCCTGACACCTTCTCATCCTCTGCTTGGCTTCTCTGCATGTGGTCATCTGCTGTGGCCTGGTGTGTAATGGGTTAAAAAAAAGCCACTGCCTGACATCCCAACATTTGACACCCCAGCCATGTGTGACTCCCCCAACATTTCACTATGCCATTCTGCAGCTGAAATGGGAACACTGGCTGCCTCTCCAAACCCAAAGTCTTGGAAAGAGGATCTGGGAGGTGGAGACCAAGCCAGAGGACTTGGGGGACAAAGAGAGGGAGGAAGGAAAGAGGGAGACAAAACTGAGCTATAGCTTAACTCCTACAGAGTGAAGTGAAAATACCACCCCAGGAGAGGACCTCACCCCAAGCAAGCCAGTGAGCAGCCCCATCAGACTACTGCTGGACTGAGAAATCCAGACGCTGATAGTCATCGGGGCTTACCTTCTCTGCCAAGTGACTGAAAAACCAAAATGAGCCCACCTTGTGTTCTTCCTAGCACCCACCCTCCCCATGCTGCTGTGCTCTGCTCCTCCCTGCACTTTTCCTGCTATAGTTCCCAGCTGCTGTAACAGAGCTGCCTCCAAGTCTAACAATAAATCAAGTTCATTGCAGATGGTGTAGTGCTGCTTAGGCTTTTTTGGACTCCACACATTGCTGAGTTACTGGGCCCTGGCTTCTACCTCTCTGCTTCAACCAGCGTTGTCATTTATCTTGGAAGACTCCTCTGATTACTAGAAGCAGTTCCACGACCCAGAGGGAGCCAGAGAACATAGTCAGGGTGGGTGAAGGGAGAAATAGTATGGGAGTCAGCATAATTTCTGAAAATGGAAAAGAATGCCTAAGTATGGGGAATAGGAGTGTAAGGTGAGAACATACATTTGGTTTGGGGGATGGAAGAGGGGTAGGATGCCTCCTGGGAATGGGATCTGTATTCCAGGGGGTCAACAGCAGAGGACCATTTTAAATGGATAGAGAAATAGCAAACAGGTAAGGAGTTGAGGGGCCCTATTAGATCCAGAGCCTATTGAGGTTGGAAATGCCCCCTCATTGTGTAGTCACTGTGACTATTCCCCCAGAAAAGTAAAGACCCTGGAGTTCTCCCCTTTTGTATTTATAGTACTCATGTAGTAAAAAGTTAGGTCCCTCCCCAAAACCCTTTATAGGGAGGGGGATATTGTAGTCCTCTTTGTGTTCTGGGTTCTCCCAATGTAAAGATGTCAGTGGGAAAGAGAAGGGACATGGCCTCTTTATATCAAGTCCTCCTGACATTCATTCCAAGTCATCAGAATGAAAAATGAAACGAAGACTCCAAGGGTCAAGTACCCTCTGGTGCTTCTCAACACAAATCTCCACTCCCACTACCCAGCAGTCTATTCATTAAAGACATTTGAGATGGTAGGCTGACTGCTCCAGGGACCTTCTGGGATGCCAGAGCTCTACATTTTTATGGCCCATTGTTGCTAAACTGTAATGGCTTTTGACTGATTCAGATTCAGTCACAGACACAGATTAACAGTCATTTTCATTCTTAAATTCACAAAGTCATCACCACCACCATCACCATTTTCGTTCTTTCATATTTATTGAGCACTCATAATGTTCCGGCCCCCCCCCCCACTCCAATGATTGCATTACCCCTCCTACCCACCCCCACTCCCATCCCCAGATCTTTGGGAAAAGCTTCATAATCACATCTGTTCTAAAGATACATGATATGAGGACAAACTTCTTGGGGACCCTGGAGTGTTTGGTCTTTGGCCAGTCTGTCCCTGGCAAACTACAGAAATATATATATATATGTATATATATATATATTTTTTAAAATCTTTTCTCATGTCTGTACAATATTGATCTCTGTTAATTGCTTAAAATAGAACCTGATTCTCTACTACAGCATCTCCAAAGCCAAATAGCCCCACAACAAAAGGAGGCCCAGCTTCACAGATTGGCCAAAACTCCTCCAGAGCATTTTAAGTAGTTACTCTGAAGTTGCACAGCAATCTAATACCTATTTTTTCCTAAAATAATTGCCCAGAGGAGGAGAACTGGGGTACATGGATCACTTGGAGATGATATGTAAATACCTATAAGCCCAGTCTGAAGAATAGTGGCCATGACAATGTTTGGGAAGGGAACTCTATTTTCCAGACATTTCAGATGGCCATCCAGGGCCCATCTGAGATTAATAGAGTCCCCCTGAATGCACATCTAATCTAAGGTACCTTAAGAAGTTGTGAACCCCTGAATACACATCTGGTCTAAGGTACCTTGAAAAAGTTTTGAATATTTCCCCAGAAAAGAAAAGACCCTGGAGTCCCCCATTTTGCATTTCCTGTCCACAGTGGTGTCTTCAGCAGTTAACAATCTGAGATTTCCTGGGATAATCAGAGTAGGTTAGGTAACGATAGACCAGCCTATCCCAAGGAAATCATATTCAAGTCTAATGGCTAAGTGAGAAGCCAGTGGCTGCTTTGAACATGAAACTAGCTCCTCCCACCGCAAGCTCAGCCCTGGCACAGGCATGCTTCATGCCAAGAGGACTGCATCCTCAGGCACCTCTGTTGTGAGCCAAGGCCTCACTCTGATCAGTGAGTTAGCCAACACAACAAGTTTCTGACTCAAATAGCTGGTATAATGTGACACCAATAATGAGAAAATGATCAATTACATGTTGCTGGTGGAAGGAGTGAATGCTGGTCATGGGCTAGAGACTGGCTTTAGATCACTAGACAGACACTGCATTTGGGGAGCATCCTCTCTAGGCAGCTGATCAATCACCTCAGGGACCACCCAAGATTGCTGACTAACCTCCTCAGGGATCTCCTGGGCCTGCATATTAGTCTCCCCCGGGAGATCCTGAAGTGGCTTATCAACCTCAGGGATGTCTTGAGACAAAAGATTGATTGCAAAAGCCTCCTGGGCCAACTTGGCAACCTCCACAGAGAACTCCTGGCATGGCTGGCTGATCTCTTCAGGGATCTCTTGGATTGGCCTGCCAACTTCCTCAAGGGTTTCCTGGACCAGGCCGCCAACCCCTACAGAGACCCTATGGAGTGGGCTGCCAACCTCCACAGAAATCCCCCAACATGGCTGGCTCACATCATCATGGTTCTTGTGGCAAAGCTGGCAAACTTCCTTAGAGTCTTTCTGGCATAGTTCACTGGCCTTCTGGCATGGTGGGCATGTGTGGGTAAGAGTATCTTGGTTCTTCTGGCATGGCTGGCTGATATCAGGGATCACCTGGCATGGCTGGCTGACCTTCTCAACAACTTCCTGGCCTCTTAGCTGGCTGGTTCCCACAGGAGGCTCCTGTGGGGACTGGTGTAGTTCAGAAAGCTCTTGTTGCCCTTCAATGGGGAACTCTTGTAGTATTTCATTTCCATGCGTCTCCTGGAACAGCCCAAGGCCTTGACTTTCTTCCATCACATATGCATTTAGAGAGGTTTGATCACTGAAGCCAAAATGGGAGTTGCCATCCACTGCAGTAGGGGAGGAGGGACCAGCACTGGACACAGTGCTGGAAGGGCCACTGCTGTCTACAAAGCAAAGTCAGGAGAACAAGTGAGACAAGCTAGAAGAGTAAGCTCTATCCTATGCATAGTTCAAATGCTAGAATGGATGGCCTGTGCTACTTGGGATCTGGGGAAAGAGGAACTGAATTCCAAATTCAATAGATACTAAATTTGCCCAGTTCAGGAATTGTCACCCTGGTCTAATGGTTACTATATGAATAGCACTAAGGTTCATCTAAGACTTCAGGAGAAAATAATGAGGGCTATTTCATCTGGTTCTTTCATAAATATACTCTCATCTCAACTCCAAATTCCCATGGCTCCTCATTCCCACTTTAGATGCATATGTACATGTTAGCCTAATGGTTCATAATTAGTTTTACATATCAAAATTGTGAAAAAAATTTTAAAAACAAATTTCCAGTTTCTATCTCCAGAGATTCTAATTTAGTTTTGTATAAAGGCATGGGTGAGGGAAGCAGGGAGGATGAGGATAATATTATTTTGTTGAAACACTCCCAGTTGAATCTGATGTACATCTTTTGTTAAGAATCATTCTTTAAAGTATTCAATATATTTCTGAAGCACAGCACATCATTGTTTATATTCCAAGAGATATGTAAGCAAAAAAGAATGTAGAAAAAAATTGTAAATCAGAACCGTTGGAAAGAAATGGTTTACCCAAAGATGAAAGACTGCTGCAGAATCTTCAAATGGAAGAAATTTTTAATTAGCCTTTCTGAGGGTCACTGGCCCCCTTGAGGCTCTAAGGAAGGTAATGAATTATATTTCAGGAAAATGGACGTATGCAAATGTTCACATTCATCTTTACATATGATTCCTGGAGTTCACAGTCTCTACTCTGAAACCCATCCCTGGAACCAAGGTTAAGATGCTCTAAGCCTTGGAATATGCAATTTTACAGGACTGCACATATCATATATACAGAAAGCAAAAAAACTAATTTTCTAGATCCTGACAATATTATATACATGAAGATCTTCAATCACACTATGGGATGATTCCGACCCCAATTTCTACTTCTTCTTTCACCTCTAATAGGAGACTACTAACCTATTTTCTTTTTGTAAATACTGTACTTATTGAGGGTATTTTACATATTAAAATGCCATGATAGATTCTGGAAAAAGGAGATCGGGATATAGCATAATCAAAGAGAAGCTGGGAAAGTTGGAAAACTTGAGTCTGCAAAGGCTCAATCAGGCATTGAATTTAAAATATGCTAGCTATTCCTCTTCTGTAAAGGAATAGAGAAGGAATGCTTCAAGTAGAAAAAAGGAGGAACATGATTTAGGGCCAACAAGATATGCAACCTATTTATGGTACAGACAGACCACAAAGGAGAAGTTTAGCAATGAAAGTCTGATAGCAGGAAGAAAAAAAGAAAGGAGAAGAAAAGATGTAAGCTGAGTTTTCCCCAAGTATAGAAGTAGACTTTATAGCCAGCCAATAGTCTGATTTATTTTAGGCAAAACAAAAAGGGAGAAGGATAAGATTTCCCATACACTCATCAGGAGAGAGGTAAAAGGGGCAATGGCAAGGTGCATGTAGGGCAATCAAAAGATTATGAAGAATTATTGTTGTCAGCAAAGTTTCTTCCTCATACAGAGTATCAGAGGAAAGGCAAATTTTTACATCTATTAAACCCCATTGTTGAAATATAAATCTACTTCAGGCCTATCCAAGTAAAATAATGTAAGGCATGTTTGGTTCCAGTTATTCCCCAGAGGCAGGATGATAAGGAAAGAATTTTTTTTTTTCACTAGTGCTTCTGATGACCACTGGTATCTCCTCCTCCCTCCTATCACCCTAGTAACTCATTGTGGCTCTGTTGTTCATGTTGTTACCAAGAGTAATTAGTGACAGGCTAGAGATAATAAAGACAAGCAAGGAAAAAGCAGCACCTTGACTTGAATTGAGAACAGACAACTTGAGAGAAGGGACATATAGAAATGAGTAGCAGATTCTAGTATCCTGCTCCCAAATTTTCTATGTATCTAGGTTGCCTCCTAGTTCTCTTTACTGAAGAAAGCTGTAGAGACACTAAAAGCGTATCTGAGTAGAACAGAGTCTCTATCCTTTTTTCCCCAAAGGGCCTCTGGGTCACTGTCTTTGAGGAGCCTATCCAACGAGATAGAGGGATCCTGGAGGACAGAGGTGAAGAAAGAGCACAAACAGATCCTCCCTCCATGTTGGAAAGAGCAGATGCAACTGCATCCTGAATGATCATTCCTGGTCTTTCAACCTTCATCTTTCCTCTCATGCATCAGGTCCCTTATTCACCAATCCCTCCATCCCTCATGGTTTTGGTCCAGGCAGTTAGAAAGGTTTACTTACACCAAGGGGGCTTCTCAGAGCGCTGCCGAAGTTGCAGGGGAGGTGAATGAAGAGTACGGGGTGGGGAAAATGGGCTATCTGAGGCCTGGTTGCTGTGCATAGAGTCAAAGAGGGCTGCACAGGTGGAGGGGAGAGAGGGAAGAACAAAAGGCACATGAAGAATCCAAGAGCCAGAGGTTCTCAAAATTTAACTTACTATTCCTTGGACTGAGAATTAAAATATCCTAGGAACCCTTCACTTAAACCAGAATCATTTTTTTAAAAATCCTATATTATAAAATTTTCCAAATATATTTTTTAAAAGTAGTTGAGAGGCTAGCTCATTTAATACCCACTCATCTCCTAGATTTAACACTTTAGTCATTTTTGCTTATTTTCCTTATTCTTTTGCTATTTCTTCATGTTAGTGTTCTTTAAATACATGATAGATATTATGAAACATTTTATATCTGAATATTTCAATATGAGTCTTTAAAATATAAGGAATTATTCATATGTAACCCAACACCATTAATAATGTGAACAAAATTAAAAATAATTCCCCTAATGCCATCCAAAGCCCAGTCCCTATTCAAATTTTCCCACATTTCCAAAATGTCTTTTCATAGCAGGAACATAGAAAACATGAATTATGCATTGATTTTCTTTTTTCCTTTAAAATCTCTATTTAAAATTTTTTAAATTTGGGCTGGGGTTGTAGCTCATGGTAGAATACTTGCCTCACATGTATGAGGCACTGGGTTCAATCCTCAGCATCATATAAAAATAAATAAATAAAATAAAGATATTGTGTCCATCTACAACTAAAAAAGTATTTAAAAATTCTTTTTTTTTAAATTTTAATATTTATTTTTTAGTTATTGGCAGACACAACATCTTTGTTTGTATGTGGTGCTGAGGATCGAACCCAGGCTGCACGCATGCCAGGTGAGCACGCTACCGCTTGAGCCACATCCCCAGCCCCATTAAAAAATTCTTTTTAATTTATTTTTTGTTTTTATTTTTTTGGTACTGAAGATTTAACCCAGGGGAATTTACCACTGAGATATAACCCCAGTCCTTTTAATTTTTTAAGACAGGATCTTACTTGAGTTTCTGAGAGTCTCACTAAATTGCTGAGGCTGGCCTCAAACTTGCAATCCTCTACCTCAGCCTCCTGGGTCACAGGATTACAGGTGTGCACCATCATGCCCAGCTAAAATCTCTTTTAGTCTCAAATAGTTCAACTTTCCTTTATAACTTTTTGAAAAAAACAGGACAGTTATATTGCAGAGTGTCATATCCTATGTCCTGAACTTACCTGATTACTCATAAAATCATTTAACTTATTTAATTAATCCTTGTATTTTCTATAAACTGGAAGTTAGACATAAAGGACCTACTTAGATGATTTAGGTTAAATACTTTTGTTAAGAACACATTAAGAGGGCTGGGGTTGTGGCTCAGCGCTAGAGTGCTGAGCTACAACTGTACAGTTTAGATAATTCCCTTCTTGTTTTCTATTTAGAATTTGCTTGTTGATCTATTCCTTGTTGATTTAGTTTTTTTAAAATGTGTTTTCAGTTATACATGGACACAATATCTTTAGTTTGTTTATTTATTTTTATGTGGTGCTGAGGATTGAACCCAGGGCCTCACATGTGCAAGGCAAGCGCTCTGCCACTGAGCCACACTGACTTAGATTATATATTGTGAAACATTTTTAGGTTCATAAGTCAAAGCTATATAAAGGCACATGTAGAACAGTTGTAATTCCTTCACACCTTTCAGACTCATTCCCTGTTGTCACATCTAAAGGTAACCACTTTTATTAGTTGGTTTTTTTTTTATACTTACAGCATTTTTTATAAATACATTTTTTCTTTATTCTTCTTTTTACTTACAAAATCAGTAGCATACTATTAACACTATTCTGTACCTTTATTTTTCACTTAAAATATATCTTGGCCATTAATTCATATCAGATAATATAGATTTTCCTCATTAGTTTGAACAGGTAAGTAGTATTCAATGGAGTGGATGGAACAATTTTTTCAACCACCCTTGTACTGAAGAACTTCAGGCTTGTTTCCAACATTCAACACTATAAATAATGCCATAATAAATAACTTCATATAAGTAATATTTCAACCTTGTACAAGACTAGTTTCAGAATAGATTTCAGTTAATTTCTAAAAGTAGATTATTAGATCAACTATATTTTTACAATTTTTACCTATATAAAGATTATATCAAGCTAGGATTATGACTCAGTGGTAGAGCATTTGCCTAGCATGTGTGAGGCACTGGGTTCGATCCTCAACACCACATTAAAATAATAATAAAAAAAAGCTATTGTGTCCATCTGCAATTAAAAAAAATCTTTAAAAAAGAAGATTATATCATTCTCAAGAGGCTGAGGCAGGAAGATTACATGTTGAGGGCAGCCTCAGCAACTAAGCAAGGTCCCATATCAAAATTAAAAATAAAATAAAAAGGGCTGGGGATATAGCTCGGTGGGTAAAATAACCCTGAGTTCAATCCCCAACAAAAACAACAACAAAAAAAAAAAACAGATAATACACTATCATTTTATACTTCCACCAACAATGTGTGGAATTTATTGTTTCACAAGATTTTCTAAGTGAGTATATATGGCATTTTTCCCAATCTGATGGGTGAGAAATAATATCTCCATGTAGTTTAATTTGCACATTGCTTATGACCAAGGTTGAGCATAATTTTGCATGCACAAGGGTCATCTGCATTTCTTTCTGTTTATACTGTCCATTTTTTAAAATCACATTTTTGAGGGCTATTAATATACCTCAGTGGGAGAGCACTTGCCTAGCATATACAAGGCCCTAGGTTTGATCCCCAGACCACAGAAGGAAAAAAAGGAAAAAAGAAAAGAAAATCACATTTTTGTCTTTGCTTCTTAAAATATAAGAGTTCTTTGTATTTGAGATGATTAATCCTATACTATATAGGATTTGAATATGGTAATTTGAATACAGATAAATGTTTCCCAGAGGTCCATGGGTTAGTCTTGGTCCCTAGGGTGGTTCTACTGAGAGACACTGTGAATCTTTAGGAGATGGGGCCTAGTGGGAGTTCCTTAGATCACTGAGCAATATATCCTTGAATGGGATTATAGGTTCCTGGTCTCTTTTGTTTTCCCCTGTTTTGTTTGTTTGCTTCCTGGTTCATGAGGCAAGTGGTTGGCCCTGCCACATGTTTCCTGCCATTGCCACTTGGTACCTTCTCCCCAGAGGCCCAAAGCAATGGGTCTGCCTAATTTCAAACTGGAACCTTCAGAACTATGAACTACATAAACCTTTTCTTTTATAAGTTAATTACCTTAGGTACTTAGTTATAGGAATGAAAGACAGGATGATATAATATATAGAATTGCAAATATTTTTTCTTTGCTTATGATGTTGCTAGCAGTTTAAAAAATTAAAAAATATTTTTTTAGTTGTAGAAGGACACTATGTATATATAAAACATTTATTTTTTTAGTTGTATTTGGACACAATACCTTTATTTTATCATTTAGATATTTTTATTAATTGTTGATGGATCTTTATTTATTTATATGTGGTACTGAGAATTGAACCCAGTGCCTCACAACCCCAGCCCTTATTTATTTATTTTTATGTGGTGCTGAGGATTGAACCCAGGGCCTCGCACATGCTAGCAAGCACTCTACCGCTGAGCCACAACTCCAGCCCAATACCTATATTTTATTTATTTATTTTTAATGTGGTGCTGAGGATCGAACCTAGTACCTCAAACATGCTAGGCAAGAACTCTACCACTGAGCTACAACCCCAGCCCTTAAAATGTTTATATTACTTAATTTATCAGTATTTTCCTATTTCTTCCTAAATATGACTTTGAGTCATGAATTAGGCTTTTCTTCAGATTTAAGGAAATTTACTATCACCACCCTGCTTATTTATTTATTTATTTAGGTATCATAATGAACTCAGGGAGGCTTCACCACTGAACTACATCTCTAGGTCTTTTAAAAAAATTTTATTTTATTATTTTTAAAATTTTGAGACATGGTGTTGCTAAGTCACGTAGGCTCTGCCAAGGTTAGCATTAAACTTGTGATCCTCCTGCCTCAGCCACCTGAGTTGCTGGGATTACGGGTATATACCACCAGTCTAGCAGTTCCAGTATTTTAAAAAATTAATTAATTTATTTATTCTAATTAGGTATATATGACAACAGAATACATTTTGATTCATTGTACACAATTGCAGCACAATTTTTCATTTCTCTGGTTGTACACAATGTACAGTATCACCATATGTGCAGTCATACATGTACTTAGAGTAATGATGTCCATCTCATTCCACGATCTTTCAGTATTTTTTTTATTGAGGTAATTCACATAACACATAAAGTTAACCATATTAAAGTGTATTTTTTTTTGCAGGGGGTACCAGGGGATTGAACTCAAGGGCACTCAACCACTGAGCCATATCCCCAGCTCTATTTTGTATTTTATTTAGAGACAGGATCTTGCTGAGTTGTTTAGCACCTCACTGTTGCTGAGGCTGGCTTTGAACTCGTGATCTTCCTGCCTCACTCAGCCTCCAGAGCTGCTGGGATTACAGGTGTGCCCCACTGCGCATAGCATTAAAGTGTATAATTATGTAGCATTTAATATATTCAGTGTTGTTCAATCACCTCTATTTAGTTCTAAAACATTTTCATTATCGCCAAAGAAAAATTCTGTATCCATCTTACCCCCAACTTTGGATTCCATCAATCTGCTTTCTGCCTCTATGGATTTTCTTATTCTGAATATTCCAAATAAATGAACTCATACAATGTGTGACTTTTTATGTTGTGTCTTGCAGTTAAACTTAGGGTCTCTTTAACACTGTGCTACATCCCTAACTCTTCTTCTTCTTCTTTTTTTTTTTTTTTTTTAATATTTAAGCCTAGCCTCAAACTTGTGAGCCTCTTCAGTCTCCTGAAGAACAGTGATTACAGTAAAGTGCCAGCATGCTCAGATGAGTACTGCCTTTTTTTTAATATTTATTTTTTAATGGTGGTTAGACACAATACCTTTACTTTATCTATTTATTTTTATGTGGTACTGAGGATCGAACCCA